TAGATCTATGATGCCCAGCCCAGTTTCGTTGAAGATTTCTTCGTTCTGGCTACGTTCAGTGTTGACCCACCCTCGTTCGGGCTAGTTTTGAGTTACCCGACCCTTTCGGCACCCATTTGGCACTTACCCACACTCAAACGAAGGTTGATTTGAGTTACCCATTCCTTTTCAACGTAGGACCAGCTAGCCTGAGGCTTTTCGAACTCAGTTTTGAAGTGCCGAGCTCTTTCGACATCAACCCACTCTTAACCCAAGTGGTATTGGCATGAGTTAGTAGGTTACGACTCACTTACAATAGATTTTGATTCAATTAAAGTCTTTTTAGTTAGTTTGTAACCCAATGTTGGTTGCGTTTGATTTAGGGAATCCATCGACGAGCTTAGTAGTGTGTTAGGACCCTTGTTGGTAAGTAGTTTTTACTTGTGGGGATGTTTGTTGTTTGAATATGCATGAATTGTTTGGTGTGTTCTGTTTGCTTTATTATCCAATAATATGTATGTTGACGATCTATTTGTGAATTTTAGTGATCATGAGTTTGTTGGATTAAATCATGATTGGTTATGACTGTATGTGATTGAGTAGCTTTATGTTGTTGCATTCGATGCTTAGTTGTAATTACGAAAGTATATTAAAATAATTTAGAAACATGTTGGTTCTGATTGGATGTGATTGATTAACTTTGTGATGTTGAACTCAATGCTTAATTGTAGTTAAGGAAGCACCACTGAATTAAGACAATCTTGACTAAATGCTAATACCAGAATAACTGTTATTCCTATAACCTTTAGTTATCGTTTAGTTTGGTCAAGAATATACTAACTCTTAATAATTCTTGTAAGTGTGACCTTCCACTTTCAGACTTCTAAGATTAGGATCAATATGCTCCCGAAATTGGAAAGTCAAGATTGAAAACGAATATAAGAAATCCTATCCTTTTAGGAGTTCGCGGTGTTCCGAATCCTATAATACCACCCTCCGATTGGTAAGGTCGCTCTAGGGCAGACATGCAGGCGCATTATAGGACTCTCACGGTGCGACCTAATGGAAGAGACCGTAGGATTTTGTTGACACTAATCCTTCACCCACTTAC